GTCTTAAATTTGGCTCCCTTAAACCTGCAGAAACATCTTTAAAAATTAGAAAATGTAAAAATGGATAAATGCTCAATTTTAAATTAAAGAACAAAAAACATGCTAGGCATTCTGAGGACCTAAAAGACACACACACACACACACACACACACACACACACACACACACAGTGAAAGTGACATCACTTAAAGCTTCTAGAAGACATAAGGAGTAAAAGTTAAAAAAGCACCGCCAAACCTTAACTTTGTCTTGCTTGAGAGAACATGGCATTTCTATGTGTGACATTTATGCTATCTGTCTATTTTCTACCTTAAAGCGACACTCGCTAGCCATTTTTTCCAGAGCAAAGCTGATAGGATCCAGAAAAAAAAAACATTTTTCCTTAAGATTCCCCTCAGGGGAGCTGACCCAGAAATGCTCTGATACGTCTGTCTGCTCAGGTCAGGGCAAGCTGCACTCGGTGCTTGTTTAAGGCTCCAAGGTGCAAAAGTGAAATGAAAGAAATGTATTCCAGACTTGATGTCTGAAGTGCCAGTGGCTTTTTATTATCTGCTGATTGCACACAGACTGAGGAAGAATTGGTTTTGATTCTGTCTGCTCCTGTTTTCTCTCACGTTCCTCACAGATCCAGGAATTTGTTGTTGTGTTGTCATCACAGACGGTGGGTTGAAGCATGCTGCTTCAGGGGTTAACTCTGACTGCAAAACCTCCACAGAAGAAGACTTCTGCACATTCACTTCAGCATTTCTTCAGCTTTCAATTTTCCTTTCATAAATAGGGCTGAACAATTTAGGAAAATATTCTAATTGCAATGTTTGTCTTCAATATTGCAATTGTTTTCTCAAGTTTGTTTACTAGAAGCTGAAGCACGGGCGGCTGGCATTTTAGCCGTGCAGCCCTTGTGTATGGTGGTGTGATGTTTCTTTAGGTGTTGATAAAGGTTTGTAGTGTTACCTCGTTACGCAGCAACAGTAGCAAATCGAGTTCTGCACCGTACCTGACGTTGTGCAGCGTCTTCTTTTATATTGCCAAAATAATTCCACACAACTGATGTGCTATTGCTTTTTGGTACCAAACTTTGTGCAGCGTTGGATTCTGCTGAGCCTGAGGCCATTTTATAACAGGCTAAAGAGCCGCGTTCTCCTCTCCCTGCCGTGTTAGAGGTACTTGCAAGTCACGTGACATCTTGTGACCAGTCAAATCGCAGCCTTGGCAATTAGAAAATCTCATTTTGTCACATTGCAGTAAAATTGCATCCGCAGTTAATCATCCGGCCCTACTTTAAAACATAAAGTGTCAAAATTCTCAAATAAACCCAAAATACTGATAATTGGGTCCAACTTTTTTATTTTTTTACAGATAGTTGAACTTTTTTGATATTTTGTCTTTTTAATCAATATTTAGACATTTTGACCAAATAATTTTACACTTTGTCTATATTATGATGAATTCTCAACACAAAAATAAAAATGTTTCTAAGCTCTGAGATTTTACAACCTTCTTCTTTTAAACTAGGTAATAATAATAATAATAATAATAATAATAATAATAATAATAATAATAATAATAATAATAATAATAATAATAATAGATTTTATTTGTAAGGCACTTTACATTTCAATGAAATCTCAAAGTGCTACAGTAGGAAATCAGAAACAATGTATGGAATAATTAAAAACAATGAATAAAAACAAATAGATAAAAAAATACATAAAACCACACAATGCTAAGTTAACACATGGTAAATCAACAGCAATACCAATCAGTTTGGAAAAGCTTGTGTAAATAAAAATGTCTTCAGGTGTTTTTTTAAACATTCAACACTCTGAGGTGCTCTCAATGTTTCAGGGAGTGTGTTCCACAGGCGTGGGGCTGCAGCTTGAAAAGCTCGATCCCCCATGGTATGAAGTTTTTTTCTGGGCTGTTGCAGGAATTGAGGTGTATATAACTATGTGTGCTTGTATTTACATGACTTACTGTGATCTTAGATATTATATGTAATAAAACACTAACATCAACTACCGGCAAAGGATTTTGTTTTTGGATGTTTTTGTAGATTATTGTCACAAACTCTCATCAAACCATGTTTTGACCTTAAAGCATCTAGATGGAGTATCAGGATTAGTATCTTCATCAGAAACCTGCCAGATCCAGTCCTAGACTTCTTTTGTATGTTCTCGCTGTGTTTGTCTTCTAATTCCATTTTTGGTTCTTTTCTAAACACAGGTAAGGTTTCTCTTTACCTTGTTGACAGTTTCGTTTGCGGCTGTAAACATCTTCAGAGCTGACGCTGTTAGAAAATCTAATTTTGTCACGTTGCAGTAAAATTGCATCTGCAATTAATCATTCAGCGTCAGCTCTGAAGATGTTTGCAGCCGCAAACGAAACCATCAGCAAGGTGAAGAGAAACCTTTATCTGTGTTTAAAAAAGAACCAAAAATGGAATCAGTCCTAGACTTGTCTACTGCCCCCTGGTGGAGGATCTGGAGGTGGAAAGGGCCGACTTTTTTTTCTGATATTGTTTCATTATTTTATAGTAAATTAAAACCGATAATGTTCTCGATAACATTTACCAATAAATAGTTATTTTATTATTATTTGATATTTCAGGCATTCCTGTTAAGACGGTCTTCAACTCCCACCTCCGGCAGAGCTTTGACCGCGTCCCGAGAGCAGTGGGGGGCATTGACTCCGAGTGGGCCTTGTTCCACTCTGCAATTGTTGAGGTGGCTGTTGCCAGCTGTGGTCGCAAGGTGGCCGGTGCCAGTCGTGGTGTCAACCCCTGTACCCGCTGGTGGACACCAGAGGTTCGGGGAGCCGTCAGGCTGAAGAAGGAGGCCTACAGGGCGTGGCTGGTCTGTGGGTCTCCAGAGGCAGCAGACAGGTACCGGAGAGCCAAGCGGGGTGCAGCAGTTGCAGTTGCCAAGGCAAAATCTCGGGCATGGGAGAAGTTTGGTGAGGCCATGGAGAAAGACTATCGATCGGCTCCAAAGAGGTTCTGGCAAACTGTCCGGCGCCTCAGGAGAGGAAGGCAGCAACTCGCTCACACTGTTTACAGTGGGGATGGGGAGCTGCTGACGTCAACTGGGGCTATAGTCGGACAGTGGAAGGAATACTTTGAGGAGCTCCTCAATCCCACCTATGCGCATTCCGAGGAGGAACCAGATCCAGGAGACCTGGGGATGGACTGTCCAATCTCTGGAGCAGAAGTTGCTGAGGTAGTCAAACAACTACACAGCGGCGGAGCCCCAGGGGCGGATGAGGTTCGTCCTGGGCATCTCAAGGCTATGGATGTTGTAGGGCTGTCATGGTTGACACGTCTCTGCAACATTGCGTGGTCATCGGGGGCAGTTCCTGTGGAGTGGCAGACCGGGGTGGTGGTCCCCATCTTTAAGAAGGGTGACCTGAGGGTGTGTTCCAACTATAGGGGGATTACACTCCTCAGCCTCACTGGAAAGGTCTACTCCTAGGTACTGGAGAGGAGGGTCCGATCAATAGTTGAATCTCAGATTGAGGAGGAGCAATGTGGTTTTCGTCCTGGCCGTGGAACTGTGGACCAGCTCTATACCCTTGCAAGGGTGATGGAGGAGGCATGGGAGTTTGCCCAACCAATCCACATGTGTTTGTGGATTTGGAGAAGGCTTATGACCGTGTCCCCAGGGGCACCCTGTGGGGCATGCTCCAGGAGTATGGGGTGGGTGGCTTTCTGTTGAGGGCCATTCAGTCCCTTTACCAGAAGAGCGTGAGTTTTGTCCGCATAGCCGGTAGTAAGTCGGACCTGTTCCCGGTGAGGGTTGGACTCCGCCAGGGCTGCCCTTTGTCACCGGTTCTGTTCATTACCTTTATGGACAGAATTTCTAGACGCAGCCGTGATGTGGAGTGTGTCGAGTTTGGTGGCAGGAGAATCTCTTCTCTGCTTTTTGCGGATGATGTGGTCCTCCTAGCTTGATCCAGCTCTGACCTTCAGCTCTTGCTGGGAGGGTTCGCGGCCGAGTGTGAAGTGGCTGGGATGAGGATCAGCACCTCCAAATCTGAGACCATGGTTCTCGACCGGAAAAGGGAGGCTTGCCAACTCCGGGTCAGGGGAGAGGTCCTACCTCAAGTGGAGGAGTTTAACTATCTCGGGGCCTTGTTCACGAGTGAGGGTAGGAGGGATCGGGAGATCGACAGGCGGATTGGTTCCGCGTCTGCAGTGATGCGGACGCTGAACCGATCTGTCGTCGTGAAGAGGGAGCTGAGCCAGAAAGCCAGGCTCTCGATTTACCGGTCGATCTACGTCCCAATCCTCACCTATGGTCATGAGCTTTGGGTATTGACCGAAAGAACGAGAACGCGGATAAAAGCTGCCGAAATGAGTTTCCTCCGTAGGGTGGCCGGGCTCAGCCTTAGAGATAGGGTGAGGAGCTCGGACATTCGGGAGGGACTCGGAGTAGAACCGCTGCTCCTCCGGATCAAAAGGAGCCAGTTGAGGTGGTTTGGGCATCTGGTCAGGATGCCTCCTGGACGCCTCCCCGGGCAGGAGTTTCGGGTATGTCCTGCCGGCAGGAAGCCCCCGGGTCGACCCAGGACACGTTGGAGAGGTGTCCAGGTCACCAATCTGGTCCAGGAACGCCTTGGGGTCCTGCTGGAGGAGCTGGTGGAGAAGGCCGGGGAGAGGACGGTCTGGAGCTCTCTAGTTGGGATGCTGCCCCCGTGACCCGGACCTGGATAAGCGGAGGAAGACAACGACGATTTCAGGCATTCAAGGGTTAATGCGGATGCAACATAACCAGGATTCCTGCGTATCTTTCTCTTGTTGACTGATATTGAAACCACCTCAAGCTTATTTTTCATTCATCTAGGAAGGAAACCGCAGCTCTCCTACCCTCTCACGCTTCTTTGTTTTTATTCAGATGAGCAAACTACTGTTTATCCAATTAATTACAGCCCGCCGCTGTCTTTGATCAGAGAATATGAGAGATGTAAACACATATATTGACTTTTGTTTTTTTCCTGTGTAGATATCCGTGACCGCAGGAAGAAACCCGTGATGCTGTTTATTCACGGCGGCTCCTACATGGAAGGAACCGGGAACATGTTCGACGCCAGCGTCCTCGCCGCCTACGGCAACGTGATCGTGGTGACCATGAACTACCGGCTGGGCGTGCTCGGTGAGTGATCAGAAACAATAAACAAGTAAACAAACACGCTTGGGCCAATTAGTTATGTCTGAAGACAAGAGTGGGTTTCCCTCAGCAGACTACATCTTTTATCAGAATAGATTTTGCTGATGATGGATGACTTTAATAAAAATTCATCAGCGTAATGACAACGATGCAGACATTGATCACGGGGCTGCACCGTTTGATTTTCTCAGCTGATGGTTCTTGTCTAAAAATGATGATTTTGTTATTAAAGACGTTTTTACAGGTGTATGTCTCTGTTAGCCTCAAGATTTTATTTGATGAAAGCAGTAGGGTGATTTTATTAATCTGCGTGAGGTGAGAGGCCTCCTGTCGTGTTTTCTTTTAGGATGTATTAACCATTAATTAATCAACTCTTAAATATTTCAAAATTAGTTAAGCACCTATGTATTTTGTGGTTTGTAGTTTGCAAAGTGCAAAAACATGCAACGAAAGTCACCTTTGTGGAAATGTAAGAAATTCGCTTTCTATGTATTTTTTATGTGGTTTTGCCTAAAAGCTATAAAAATGATGAATAATTACCATCAGACCCAGAGTGGAGGGTTTTCTGATGGTTTTCTGAACCTAGCTAGCAGCTGGTCTAACTGCAGCCAAGGCAAAGGGGCTTAGTCGCTGCTACTGGCCTTTTAGCGTGTAAATAATGGTTGTGACGGTCATGAACAAATCACATCTTTTGAACGCCTCTTGAAAGTGAGTGATGAGAGCCATTCATCTTGTCTTGCACTAGGGTTGTCACGGTGTGAAAATTTAACCTCACGGTTATTGTGACCAAAATTATCACGGTTTTCGGTATTATCGCGGTATTTTTTTAAACATGTTAAATTTTCAGGAAACTAAATAAACCCTGTATATCAGGAAAATATTGTCCTCAGTTTATGTCTAAATTTTAAAATTGTGTCTACAATTTGTTATTTTGTAATTATGTTGTTTATTTGTTTATTTCTTTGCCCATAACTTCTTATTTTATGTCTGTTTGATGTCATCATTTTAAAAATATTAGATCAGATGATACTCAGTACTCAAGTAGCCTTCTAATCAGTTACTTTTTTACCCTTACTTGAGTAATAAACCCTATATCAGGAAAATATTGTCCTCGGTTTGTGTCCTTCCAATGAGCTTTGCAGATGTGGGGAAAATGTCATCAGGCAGTAATCATTGTTAAATTCATAATTATTCTCGGAGAGAGACCAACTCTTATCTGCCCCTGGTAGTCCCGTAATGCATAGCGTCATTTCAACATGGGGGTGTCCGCGACACGGTTTATATGCAGGTAGCGGCGCTGCGGCTGCTTTATATAGCGACTCGTTGCATTCTCCCTCAACCCAAATCCTCGGATCACGCATTTTAGCTAAAACGCTAACGTTAGCTTGCCTTGCGTTGACTGTAGAGTTGTGGGTGATGGTCACGCAGATGTGTCATGAGATTTGAAGCGTTGCTGCCTTTCACAGACTCTTTTTCTGCACGTGCTGCAAACAGGATAGCCGTCCGTCTTCTATAAACTGTCCCTCGGCATTCTTCAAATATCCAAAATATGCCCGTACTTCCCACTTTGTCTTCTTTGAGGGATAATAAATGTCCTCCTGAGCACTGCCGTCTCCTCCTTTGGCCATTATTTCAGCTTTAGCTTCAAGAAAGTTTTGGTTGTAAACAACAAAGTGCGCATGTGCCGCCGGCAACTTCAGCAGATGATACGGTGGCTGGTAAGGGTCACCGCGCCTACACCGCAGCCACGGTAATCCACCGAGATAATATAGTTTTTTAAACAAGACGGTTATTATTGTCAACTTTTTTACCGGGGTTTACTGCTACACCGGTTACCGTGACAACCCTATCTTGCACTCCCCACCCCCTGATCACGGACACCGTTGTAACGCATCGCCCCCACCTCCACCTCCACAGAGAGCCAAAAGAGATGTTCAACCGCTCTCGAATGAACGTCTCCCTCGAAAGACTCACAAGTCCTCTCACTAGTAAACAAGGTGGGAAACGTTTAGATATTGGCACACAAAAAAACGTTACCACATATCTGAATCTGTAGCAGAAAACCCCATGCTGGTTAATCTCCAATACTGTTTCTCTTTTTGAATATCTTGTCTGTTTTATTTAAGCTGAGACCAGAAAATATGCAGGCGATGGCCATAAACTATGTTTTCTGTCAACATCAGAGGAGGAATGTTTCAGTCCCTCTAGGAGATGCATCCTAGAATTAAGAAAACAAACTCTTTGGTAGAAACCACGGCAACCGTCCAACCAGAAAATGGCTGTATTTATTTGCCTCTTGCATTTTAGAAACAAGCCCAGATTCAGTCAATAAAGGTTAACAGGAGCATTTGTTTCAATGTGTAATTACACTACAGTTGGTCCGTCTTTACTTCCACTGGATAGTTACCTTCCTTAGTGGATTTAAAACCTCTCAGCTCACACAGATATTCTACTTTAATTAGAAACGGGTCAATAAAAATGTCATCTTCTTACCAGCAGTCAGATATCCTTTTTTTAGCTGACGGAGTAAATGTTCATGACTTTATTCCTAAAATGCAGCTAAAGCCATAACGCTGTGTTATTCATTGGGCTGCTGAGGCTTTTGTTTGCCCGTAACATTCATAGAAAGAGCTTTATGAAGCTTTGACTTGACTTCATGAGACAAATCAGACACATGGCAGTCATTTTTCCTGAAACAGAAATGCGCCTCACAAATAACTTTTAACCGCATTCCTTTCCCTGCAGCTACAGCCTCTGAATATCTTTTTTAGTTATTTATTTTTTTTATTTTTTGCTGCATTAGTCATTCTAAAAGCAGCGCAGATTGTTTAAAAAAGAATTACCTCCAGGGAGTGTTTTGGGATAAGTGGACTCGGGAACGATGCACGAGATGTCGTGCAGTAAAAGTGATGGATTGAGGAAGTGTTTGAGAGGGTTTTACAGGCCAAATGTTGCACAACATAAGCAGCCTGCTAGTCGGATCTGTCACAGTTACATTAAAAAGATGGTGCAGCAGCTCAGCTCTCCCCCACAAACTCGTCATCCTTTTGCTGAGAATACACTCGACTCGCCCTCTTTGTTACTCACCACTCTCTGTCTCGCTCCATTGAGATCAAGTCATTTAGCTCTGAGAGGAGGAACATGCCTCAGAGGAGGCAGGTGCAAACCAAAGCAAACTAAGTGCTTTAGATATTTCATTAGCAGCGAAGAGAGTCGGCTCCTGGAAGCTGTTTAAGAAGAAAAAATTGCATGGCTTTGATTTGTTTTGTGGCACTCTTAAAGAACATTACTGTGTTGTTTTCGGAGCACTTACACTGCCTCTACAGTGGTGACAGATTTTCATTTGCATGTAATTACCTAAAGTGTTTTCTTTGCAGGGCTTCTTTATTAAACTCATCTGCATTTCTCAGCCTGATAAGAAAGTGCAGTTTGTAATGTGACTATCCCCGGAGATCTGTGGAGCTGGATCAGGAATGATGGGTTTTATAAAAATACAGTTCCAGTTTGGTGCTGAGGTCCAATTCAAATGTGTTTGCTTGCAGTTTGATTTAATCTATGTACAATCTAAAAGTTTAGATGCATATGTATATTGAAACACTGAAATATCACAACATTTAATGTTATGATACTCAATATGTTTTTTTAAAGCAATGTGTCAATTTCTTATTGAGAATTTACACGCTGACATTTATTGAAATTTTATTTGCTGTAATTCAATCTCCCGCCACTAGGTGGCAGCAGTTATACCACTTTCAATCTGACAGAAAAACAAGATTTCGAGATGACACTAAATGTATATTGAAAGCCTCTGTTCTCAGATTCCCAACAATAAGCATAAGCATCCTACAGACATTTGGCTTTTAGTATTGCGGTGTATTGTATTGGCTCCCATGTTTTGTAGTAAATATTGTATTGTGTAGTCTTCTATGTGCTACGATATTTATCGTATCACCTCCGTGTATCATCATAAATATTGTATCAAACCATATAGTCTCTCATGTATATATATATATATATATATATATATATATATATATATATATATATATATATATATATTCCAATTCATTTTCCAATTCAAACTGAAGACATTTCATCACACTTCTGTTAGCTAACTGAACACATTTATGTTCCAAGTCAAATCCAGTAACACAGCAAATTTACACTCAGATGTAGCCTAATCCATTTCAACTCAAATGGACCAAATTCCAATTCAATCAAATGCTATCTAAATCCAGCTCAAGTGTAATTATCAAAAGTGAAGTTGAATTTCAAAACCCTACTGCATACAGTTCAATGAAATTCAAGCAAAGTATTTTACTTTTCACTGTCAATGCATTTCCATTCACTTCCACAGAATTCTGTTCATATTTTTACATTTCAGTCCAATTATTTTTATTGCAAATCCACTTTCATGCAGTTCAAATTCAGTTCAGTTCACTTCATTTCAAACATATACATTCACCAACATTTCATAAAATCATTCCATGCATTTGTTTGAAAAGGAGTAGGGAGAAGTGTATACTTATTTAGCCCTACTCCCTCAGGTTTACATCCTCATCATCAAAATTTAAACAACAAAACAGTTACAGTGCCTTCAAAAAAAACACAAAACAAAAAAAAATAACAATAATAATAAACAAATTGAATCAAGTTACCCAAAACAAACATAATCTGATTCATGTAATATTTGTATATTTAATAATCTGCACCGGTTATCTTTTGATTGAATGACATCAGGAAAGCGTTACTGAATTCGATAGAATTTAAATACACCTGACCGCTTCCTAAAGGCAGATTTTTCATGTAAAACCTCGATGAGATGACCCCTCGTTTGCTGCCTGATCTGCTTACGTTTCTACTTCAAAACTTAAAGTGGTTCCAGTTAAACTCCAGAGGTGCAGAAATCACGTCTGTTCCTGTAAAATTACACCTCGAACATGTTTCACATATCTGCACCATTAACGTCCGTTTGTGAGGTTTAT